CGCCTCCGATGAAAGAAATATGATGACCGAACAAACTGTAGGACCCTCAGTGAGGAGTTGCCTCCGACAGGGACGCGCTGCCGCTGAGCGCTCTCCGCACAAGGGGCGCTGGTCCAGCCGGCGCACCCTCCGGCGCGCAGCCCTCGGCAGGGGGCCCGCCGAAAAGGCACGCCAGAGCAGAGAAGTTTACTGCCCACCACCACCTTCGCTCGAGACCTTCCCCTCCCTCTCCGGGCCTCTGCCTCTCGGGGCCCTGAGGGGGCCTCGAGGCCTTGCGAAGCTGAATGGTGGGCACTTGCGGGGGGGAGAGGTCGAGGAAGCTGGGTTGGCTCTGGTGACCGTGAGCCGCGGGAGCAGCCCATCGGGCCGTTGCGTCTGGTGGCGCCAGACCCCCGAAGACCAGGATCAGCGAGGCGAGCGTTGCCTTTAAGCGCTCTGGCCAGGGAGGGGGGCGGGCACACGGGAGCGGGGAGGGGCAGAAGCAGGGCGGGAGGGGGGGGGAGTGGGGGAAGGATGGCACAGAAATGGGGTCAAACAGCTGGTGCCTCACTGGGACAGGAAAAGGCTGCGTCTAGACGGCGCATCGGCAGATGATTCGGCAACTCTCAATGTACATTGGAGGTGGCGTGCAGGAGTATGCAAAGTAACAGCTGCACAATGCCTTGGACAGGTCGTTGTATTCTCTGTGCCAACGGACTGCGAGTGAACCTACGCAGCTTTTCGGAAGGAGGCTGGGGGGGAGGAAGGAAGGGGAAAGGGCATAGAAGGCGAACACATTCACAATGATTGTGTGTATTGATCGACTGCTGTCTCCCACTGTGAGGATTGCAACACATTGTAAATGTTGTGCGCTCAGAACCCGGGCGTGCACTATATATAGGTCGCACAACACAGGTTACAATCTATGTGGTGTAGTAAATGTTGTGCAACATATATTGTGCAAGCTAGGCGCCCCCCCGCGACCGTTTCAGCTTGCCGCCGTGGCACCGGCCGACAGTGCCGAGCTTGACGCGGGCGAGCGCCACAGAAGCTCTTTGGGACTCGCTCCGGCGGATTGTGTGCGCTCTCGCTCTCTCTGTCTCTCTCTGTCTCTGTCTCTCTCCCTCTCTCTCTTTCCTCCCTTGAGCGAACCTGGAGTCGTGACGACTCCGCTGGCGCCGCCCTAGGCCTAGCAGCCCACCAGGCTCGCTCCTTGTGCTGGCTTACCGTGCTGTGGGTTTTCGATTTCGGGGCAAGCTCTCGAGTTCTTGCCCCGCTTTTGAGAAGAGTATTTCTCCAGGTGGGAGTTCAGTCCCCCTGTCTCCCTCCCTCTCTTTCTCTCTCTCGTTGCTCCTTCCTCATCCGTCCCCTTCCCTCTTCACTCCTCCATCCGCGCGCATCAGGGTGGTGCTGCGGACGAGCTGATCGATCGTGGCGACCTGATGAAGTCCACCTTCCCGGGCCTGAAGGCAAGTGGGCTGGCGCGTCGCCACCCACCCCTCACCCCTTCTTCCTTGAAGAGGAGGAGGAGGAGGAGGAGGAGGAGGGGGAGGAGGGGGAGGAGGGGGAAGAGGAGGAGGAGGAGGAAGATGATGAGAGATAGAAGAGGGGAGATGAGATAGAGAGAGAGAGAGGCGGGCGAGCGGATTATACATGTACTTCTACACACATGTTCATCTATGTATGACATCTATATCTGCACGTGTACGTATATGCATATATACAGAGAGAGAGAGACAGAGACAGAGAGACAGAGACAGAGACAGAGACAGAGCGTCAGAGTGAGAGAGAGAGAGAGAGAGAGACAGCGAGACCGAGAGCGATGATATGACTCGAGACGAGTCCAGGCAGGAAGACGAGATGAGGAAGCACGGACGGGTGAAGCGAGCGCAGACCTTTTTCCCTCCACCCCCGCGCGCACGGACAGGCAGGCCAGGCGGGACAGGCACTCAAGCTTTCACGAAGCAGTGGGCCCAACACCCTCGCGCGGGGTCGCCACGTCCGTATGTGTGTGTGTGTGTGTGTGGCTCCCTTCCTTTTCATGCGTCGCATGCGGTGGAGGAAGATCATGCTGATGAGGATGATGAGGAGGATGATGATACTGATGATGGTGATGATGATGCTGATATTGATGTTGGTGCTGCTGATGATGATGATCGTGATAATATTGATGATGATGAGGATGAGGAGGATGCTGATGTTGTTGATGATGATGATGACGATGATGATGAGGATAAGGATGAGGATGAGGATGCTGACGGTGATGATGATGGTGGTGGTGGTGATGATGCTGCTGCTGTTGATGATGATGAATCTGATGATCACGATGCTGATGATACTGATGAGGATGTTGATGATGATGATGAGGATGTTGATGATGATGCTGCTGTTGATGCTGATGATGCTTATCATGATGCGGAGGAGGATGAGGAGGATGCCGATGCTGCTGATGATGATGACGGTGATGCTGCTGCTGCTGCTGCTGATGATGAAGAGGATGCGGATGCTGATGATGATGGTGGTGGTGGTGGTGATGATGGTGCTGATGATGCTGATGCTGATGATGATGACGATGCTGACGATGCGGATGATGACGATGATGCTGTTGTTGATGATGATGATGGTGGTGGTGATGATGATGCTGATGGTGATGATGCTGATGATGCTTCTGATGAATGCGATGATACATATTATGATGATGCTAATGATGATGCTGGTGATGATGATGCTGGTGATGATGAGGATGGTGCTGCTGATGATGCTGATGGCGATGATAATGATGATGATGATGCTGATGATGATGTTGATGATGCTGATGCTGATGATGCTGATGATGCTGATGCTCATGCTGCTGCTGCTGCTGATGATGATGATGGTGCTGCTGATGATGCTGATCATGGTGATGTTGATGGTGATGTCGATGATGTCGATGATGTTGGTGATGATGATGATGCTGATGATGATGATGATGCTGATGATGACGATGATGATGATGATGATGATGATGATGATGATGATGATGATGATGATGATGATGTTGATGTTGATGATGATGAGGAGGAGGTGGAGAAGGAGGAGGAGTCGGAGTTGGAGGATGTGGAGGAGGAGGAGGAGGAGTAGAGGAGGAGGAGGAGAGGGGAGGAGAGAGAGAGGAGGAGGGGAGGGAGGGAGGGAGGGAGGGGAGGGATGGAGAGAGGGAGGGATGAGGGAGGGCGGATGAATCGGGTTTTTTGGGGGAGGCGATGGACATTGGGCTTGAGCTCGGGGGTGTGCGTGGCCCCCCGGCTCGCCGAAGGTGCACGTCGCTCCCGCCATCCCCGAAGCCGCAGAGTTCCCGTGGTTCAACAAGCCGTGGTCGTTCCAGCACTGGCTGGACAGTATGGCCGACAATATTCTGACGAACGAAAAACACACACCCATAGGGGGGTCGTTGGGGGGAGGACTGGCTATGGGTGTGGGTGCGGGTTGTCGGACCACTGGGGACGCTCCCATTCGAGCGGGGACCCCCACCTGACAACACGCACCCATAACTAACCCCCTCCGACCCCCTTATGGGTATTGGTGTTTGTGTGTGTGTGTGTGTGTGTGTGTGTTGTTCGATCGTCATATCCGGGGAACCCAAGACTCGGGTTTGCTGGAACTCGCGTCCGCCGCCGCTGTTTGACGGTCCTGGCGTGAGTTTTGGCCGTCGGTTTTAGTGGGATGTTTACAGCGCGAGCGGTGTTCGAGTTGGCATGGAGGGCCAGGCTCGACTCAGATTGAGAGTAGTTTGTCGCGAAAGCGATATTCAGAAGTCTAGAGCAACTACGCTTTCGGATCGCTGGGACCTCCAGGAGCGGACTGGACTCTTCCTCCTCCTCCTCCTCCTCCTCCTCCTCCCGCTCCTTGAGCGGCAGGGCGCTTGGGGCGCCGGATTTCAGTCCAGGTCCAGCCATTTCTCGGACGGTGCCGTCGGGCAAATTGGAGTCCCCCGAACTCGGGCCCTCCGTCTCCCCAGACACATCAGCGAGCGCGCCATCGCTGTCCTGGACCCCGACGAGTTCTTCCTCCAGCCGCTGACGCAGCGCGCCGAGCACCCCGCCGATGGTCCGTTCGAGATCCTCCACGGGTACCCGGAGCGGCTGAGGCACCAGGTGACGGACGTTGTGCAGCCCGGATGGGGCGTGGCGCAGAAGTACGGCATCCGGAGGATGAAAGGGCACATGCCAGTCGTTGAAGTAGGTGTTGAAGAGGCCTTGCGGCCGGTGGTGCCGCCGACTCTGGACGACGACGACGACGACGACGACGACGACGACGACGACGACGACGACGACATCGACGACGACGACGCCGGAGGATGAAAGGGTACACGCTAGGTTTTTACCTAACAGCGAAGACTGATAGGTTTCTAGTAGGGTCAAAAGAGAGCATCATGACGCCCCAGGGGTGTCTGGGCGCGATCCGGGGAAGTGCCGGGGATTTTTTTTAGCCAACAGTTACACACTTCGTGGTCTTCGAGTTCCCAGAACCCCATTCCCGGGCCACATTCTGAATGCCCGGAGCCAACTGTAGGCCACTTCGTGGTCTTCGAGTTCCCAGAACTCCATTCCCGGGCCACATTTTGAATGCCCGGAGCCAATTGTAGGCCACATCGTGCTCTTCGAGTTCCCAGAACTCCATTCCCGGGCCACAGTTTGAATGCCCAGAGCCAAACTGTAGGCACTTCGTGGTATTCATGTGGTATCGAGTTCCCAGAACCTCAATCCTCTGGGAATGAGTTTGGAATGTCCGGAGCAACTGTGTAGGCCAATTGTGTTCCTTCGATGTTCCCAGAACCCCTTCCCGGCCATCATTTTGCCCATGTGAGGCAGCTGATGCTGAGGTGAGGCAGGCTGAGGCTGAGGCAGGCTGAGGCTGAGGCCGAGGCTGAAGGCAGACTGAGGCTGAGGCTGAAGCAGGCTGAGGCTGAGGCTGAGGCAGGCTGAGGCTGAGGCTGAGGCAGGCTGATGCTGAGGCAGGCTGAGGCTTAGGCTGAGGCTGATGCAGGCTGAGGCTGAGGCTGAGGCACGCTGAGAATGAGGCCGAGGCTGAAGGCAGACTGAGGCTGAGGCTGAAGCAGGCTGAGGCTGAGGCTGAGGCTGAGGCAGACTGAGGCTGAGGCTGAGGCAGGCTGAGGCTGAGGCAGGCTGAGGCTGAGGCTGAGACTGATGCATGCTGAGGCTGAGGCAGGCTGAGGCTGAGGCCGAGGCCGACGGCAGACCGAGGCTGAGGCTGAAGCAGGCTGAGGCTGAGGCAGAGGCAGGCTGATGCTGAGGCTGAGGCAGGCTGATGCTGAGGCAGGCTGAGGCTGAGGCTGAGGCTCATGCAGGGTGAGGCTGAGGAAGGCTGAGGCTGAGGCCGAGGCTGAAGCAGTTCACCAGGAGGCAGACGCAGCTGAGGAGGCCACGCTTGGGCAGGCTGAGGCTGAGGCTGAGGCTAGGCTGATGCTTAGATATAGCAGGCTAGGCTGGATGTGAGGCTTGAGCAGGTGACGCTTTGTGAGTGAGGAGGGCTGAGGCTGAGGCCGAGCTCTGAAGGCCAGATGGGCTGAGGCTGAAGCAGGCTCAGGTTGAGGGTGAGGCAGGCTGAGGCCGGCTGAGGCAGATGCTGAGGCAGGATGAGGCTGAGGCCTGAGGTGATGCAGGCTGAGGCTGAGGCAGCCTGAGGCTGAGGCCGAGGCTGATGCAGACTGAGGCTGAGGCTGAAGCAGGCTGAGGCTGAGGCTAAGGCAGGCTGAGGCTGAGGCTGAGGCAGGCTGATGCTGAGGCAGGCTGAGGCTGAGGCTGAGGCTGATGCAGGCTGAGGCTGAGGCAGATGAGGCAGACTGAGGCAGGCTATGCTGAGGCAGGCTGGAGGCTGCAGGCTGAGGCTGAGGCTGAGGCAGCTGAGGCTGAGGCTGAGGCAGGCTGATGCTGAGGCAGGCTGCGGCTGAGGCTGAGGCTGATGCAGGCTGAGGCTGAGGCAGGCTGAGGCTGAGGCCGAGGCTGAAGGCAGACTGAGGCTGAGGCTGAAGCATGCAGGCTGAGGCTGAGGCTGAGGCAGGCTGAGGCTGAGGCTGAGGCAGGCTGATGCTGAGGCAGGCTGAGGCTGAGGCTGAGGCTGATGCAGGCTGAGGCTGAGGCACCCTGAGAATGAGGCCGAGGCTGAGCAGGCTGAGGCTGAGGCTGAGGCTGAGGCTGAGGCTGAGGCAGGCTGAGGCTGAGGCTGAGGCTGAGGCAGGCTGATGCTGAGGCAGGCTGAGGCTGAGGCTGAGGCTGATGCAGGCTGAGGCTGAGGCAGGCTGAGGCTGAGGCCGAGGCCCGACGGCAGACTGAGGCTGAGGCTGAAGCAGGCTGAGGCTGAGGCAGAGGCAGGCTGATGCTGAGGCTGAGGCAGGCTGATGCTGAGGCAGGCTGAGGCTGAGGCTGAGGCTCATGCAGGGTGAGGCTGAGGCAGGCTGAGGCTGAGGCCGAGGCTGAAGGCAGACTGATGTTGAGGCTGAAGCAGGCTCAGGCTGAGGCTGAGGCAGGCTGAGGCTGATGCAGGCTGAGGCTGAGGCTGAGGCAGGCTGAGGCTGAGGCTGTCACTGCGACTGCCGTTGCCGCTGCGACTGCCATCGCGAATGCGACTACGACTGCGAGAACAGCAGAATTCTACAACAGGATTCTCATCTGAATCTTAAGGGGAATGCTTCCAGATATGCTCCTACACATCGCTATCAGGTTGCTTTGCCGGGATAATTGTTCTGAATTCAAAGATCCCAATCTACTTCAAGCGCCTTCCTATCTCAATGATCGATATGATTTTGCTGCGTCGTGCTATTACTCAATCTACTTTGTCCGCCTTTCCTACTCCATGATTTTCACTTATTTCTTCCGACCGACGGGTGCCGATACCACTACCCTTGCCTCGTTTTCGTATTTTTGGGGTCCTGCCCTCGTCGCCACCAGCTGGATTCGCTTTGAAATTCTGGTCGCAAGGCACCCCGGGAGACGTTTTGGGAGCAGCGGTACCCAGACTTTTCTTTTCCCGTCGCGGCGCGGCAGGGGCGATCTGTTCGCGCGTCGAGCAAGCCTTGAATGCGGAGTCACGACTTGTCCCGCGTGAAAAGGGGGTACGGGGCAGCAGAGGGCGGCGGCAAGAGGAGGAAAAGGGGGGGAGGGCACTCTCGCACGGCGGCGCCGCGGGGAGCGCGCGAGGCGGCCAGGCTGCGGGGCAGCCCCTGGCGGCGGCGCGGGGCGACGTCGCGGGCGCACCCAGGGGCGGGGCCAGCAGCCGCAGTGCGAGCGAGGCCCAGCAGGCGGGGAGGGGAGGCAGCGGGCGGTGGGCGGACCAGGGCGGCCGGGCGGGGGGAGCGGGGCGGCGGCACCCAGGGGCGACGGCGGCGGGCGGGGCAGGCCGGCATGGTGCGGCAAGCGCTGTGGCAGTCGCGGGGGGGGAAGGCGGCAGGGCCGGGCGGGGCGGGCGCCAGAGCGGCGGAGCGTTACGCGGCACCGGGCGGTGCAGGCCGAGCGGGGGCGGGGGGCGATGGGGGGGGGCGGAGGAGCAAGAGCCGCCCCAAGGCTGGCGCACGCGTCGCAGCCAGGGGGGGGGCGGCGCCCGATGGCAAGTGGAGCGCGGGCGCGGGCTCCTCGCGGGGGGACGCAAAAGCGGGAGGTGAGGCGCAACGGCGGTGGCCCCCAAGTGGAGCAACGCGAACTGCCGGCCGGGGCGGGGCCTACCTGCAGAGCCTTGGGGCGGGTGGGCAGTGGCCACGCCCAGGGTGTGGCCTGGGCGTCGGCGCACAACGGCGACCAGCAGGTGGCAAGGCGGGCGCAGCACTGAGGAGGGGCGGCGCCTGCGCGAGGGGAGGGGCCCGCAGCAGGGGGCCAGGAGGGCGGGGAGGGGCTGCCAGGCGCGAGGGTCACGGCCCCGGGTGGGCCGCTGCGCCGACACGCAGGGGAGAGGAGGGGGGACGTCTGGAAGCCAAACCAGCGTTGGCCCGCCGGCGGCGGGCGGGCAGTGGCACGCCGCCAGAGCGGGACGCGCCGGTGTTAGACGCAGGCGCGACGCCTGGGGTGGATGGCGCGCCCGTGAGAGGACACCCGTGGCGCAACAGGCTGGCAGAGAACGCCAGCCTGGGCACTCGGGCGCGCCACCTGGGGTGGACGGCGCGCCTGGGGCCTGGCGGCGGGCGCCCTCGGCGCAGGGGGCGCACCGTGGGAAGCTACTCAACTTGTGCGCAGATAGGTGTGACAAGGCATGGCGCTTCCACGGGAGGGGAGGCAGCCGGGCGTTGCGCACCCCCTGAGGTGGGGTCGCGCAGGGACAGCATCCAATTGGTGCGCATGACTAGTGGTTGCGAGGGGGGGCGGGCGCCTCCTGGGGTGGAAGGCGCCGCGCGGTCGTCGTCGTCAAAACCCAGGTGAGTCGGGAAACATTTTTCTAATGCGCAGCAGGTTGGGAAAGTGCGGGCGCCTCTTGGGCGGGAAGACGCCGTCGTCAGCGTCAAGGTGGGCTGTCGTTCTGTCAAGGGGAGCGCCAGCCGCCGTGGCGCGGCTGTTTGTCGTTTTTCGAGCCCGCGCAATCGGGGGTGGTCTCCAGCGGGCCCGATCGGTTCGCTGTGCCGCTTGCCTCCGTGTCCCTTCCTGGCGACCTGGCTTTGCTGGCCCTGCTGCTGCTGCTGCTGCTGCCAGCTATGACCACGCCGCGGTAAGTAGAGCGAAGAAAAGTTGGATAAGGCCGTCCCAAGCTCACCGCATAGCTCACTCACGCAGATTGAGGAGATGACTCTCGTGACTGTGTCACGAGGTCACACGGAGGTAGAAAGCAGACGTAGTTCCAAGAACCGCATTGGCCCACTGAGAATGGGATGTGTGTTCCGGTTCCCGCGGACATCAACGGGCGATATCTACTTTTTGAGCACTCGGGTGGCCAGGCTTGTGCGGACTGTATCTGGGCTTTTCGCGGATCTTTAGCAGGCGCTCTTCGAGTAGTCTCGCACTTTACTGGGTGTGGAAATGAATTAGCCTGCTTCGGCTAGTCTTAAGGGTTGCACCGGGAGTAGTTTCCAACCCAGCCACTGGCGCCGTGTTTTTTTTTTTTTTTTTTTGTTTTTGCGTTTGGCGTCGTGGAGGCAAATGTGCCTTCGGCTGGAGCGAAGTCCGGTGACCCTGACACCTGCCGAAACCAGGTCAGCGCGGCCACCCCGTGAGGCAGTTTTTAATGAAGGGGCGGTTCGCGGAGCCCTCCTGTTGTGCTGTCCTTCAGAAGCACGACGGATTCGTTTGAACACCAGACTCGAACGGTAGGTCTGTCCCCCTTCCTGCCGCCTTGCCTGTTTCTCACCCAGCCTGTCCGCTGCCTTTTTGGCCGTGGGGTACGGGAGCCTGCAGTGCTCTCGTGCCCGCCTTGTGCACTCCGCCTTCAGGAAAAACGTTCGCATTTCCACGTTGCTTCCTGCATCCTCATTTCTAGTGTGGAGCGTGTTTGTGGAGCGCTCTCGCTAATTCAAGCTGTGCGCGGCCCGCTTAGCTTCGACCGGAAGAGGCACGCTCTCGACCCGCGGATCAAAAAGTTAGTGGAGCGTTTTTGGTGTTTTTGTTTTGTTGCAGACGGCTGCGCGTGGACATTCAATACTTGGACTGCCTATATGGGAACCTTTCGGTGTCAAGGTTAACCGACGGCCGACGTGCTGTTAAAAGGTACCGCTCTGACATAAATTACGACGTCGGGGGTCTGGGTCTTCCTCCCGTCCTCCTCCAGTGCCTCGTCCTCGGCATCCTTCTCGCCCGCTTCCTCCCTGCACTCCCCTCCTCTGGTTCTCCTCCCCCGCCCCCCGCCTCGCACCCTCCTGCCATCGCGTCCTTTTTTTCTCTCCTCGCGCTTGTCCGTTCCTCCTCTTCCGTCACGTCCTTCTCTCTTCATTCCCCTGCGCACCATCGTCCCACCATCGCTCATTTTGGTACCTCGTTCGCACTCCGCTCGCATACCAGCTCGTGCTCCTACGCATTTTGTCGTCGTGTTCTCTCCCTCCTCCTTCTCTTCTGTGTGTCTAGTCGCCCGCGCTCCGCTCGCTTTCCTTTCCCCGTCCCCCTCTTCAGAGAGGGTGCGTGTTTACGGGAGGTGGTAACGACCCGGAGCCCCCGCGGTGGTTATGAACAATTCCACGGTTCGGAAAATCAAGACGGAGGGGGGAGGACAAGGAACAACGGGCGCGGAGAGAGAGAAGCGACCTCCACCTCCTCCTCCTCCTCCTCCTCCTCCTCCTCCCCTTCCTCCTTTCCTCCTCCTCTTTTCCTCCTCTCCCATACCCATACTAGTCCCCCTGTTCTCATTCCCCCCCCTACCCTCCCTCCCCCCCGTTCGCTCGCTCCCTCAGGTCGCTTGTCTCCTCATGCCCTCTCGGAGGTCCCTCAAGCCTCTCCGGGAACATCTGCACCGATATCCGAAATACTTTCCGTGAACATCCGAGAGCATGTTTCGAATCACACCGCAGGAGCAAGAAGGGGAGGAGGAGGAGGTGGAGAGGTGTCGAGGACGACGAGCAGGACGACGACGACGACGACGCCCGACGGTCTCCAGAGGTCTCAAGGAGTCCCCCAAGTTCTGGCACGGGGGGCCACGGAAAAGGCCAACCGCGTCCAACCCCGCACGACAACGTGCAAAGTCGACGTCGATGACGACGACGCGGGCCGCGGCTGTGTCTCACAACGGAACGCACCGCCCCCACCCCCAGTCCCACCCTGGGGGGGTGGGGGCAGCACCCAGCGCCCTGCCAACACACAGGTAGCACCCGCCAGCGTGTATAACGGGGCGCTCGGGGCACGTCGCGCGGGCCATCTGCAGTTCTTGCTCACGCGGACAGCTGTCGGCGGGGGGAAGGAGGGGGGAGGGGAGGGCGAGGTGGAGGAGAATTCGTTGGGCGCGCTTTATCTGCCAGCAAACAGAACTCAAGTACCTAACTCCTCGCTCTCCTATCTTCGTCCCCGTGTCACCTGCCTCTTTTCGCTTTCTCTCTTGTGTAGTGGGTATGTGTATCGTTGCCCTTCCCCAGGCATCGGCGCTGCGTTCCTCCATAAGTTCGACCAGCGCGCGATCTGCCCTGGTGGGGCCGCCAGCCCGTGCGCCAACATGACCAGTGAGCTGGGCGAGCTGTACTATCCAGCGGGGCCGCCGTACATCCTGCACAACGCGGACTTCAAGAAGGTCATGCCGACGTGGTGGGAGCTCATGAAGCCGGTCTACCAGCAGGATCCGAGGGAGCTCGACCCAGACATGCTCGCGTCGTGAAAATTACGCGATGCGGTGTTTCGGCCATTTTTGGTTTGGGGGCCCTCGCCAGGCCCTAGAGCCGTCAACAAGAAACGGCTCGGGATGAAAAGCTGACAAAGAGTTGGTACTTCCCAGGACCCCGTCTCGGGAAAGTCAAGACACCGCCTCTCTGGAGATTCTTCCCCGCGGATCTCCTGCTACTCCTCGACCCTGCTCTCATCCTCAGCCTACCTCCTTCTGATCCTCAGCCCCGTCCTTCTCCTTCTCCCCCCTGCCCCTCGCCCACAGCAGTGGAGCCCTCCGAGCCCGAGCCCGATAGACGGCCAGAGGCCTGCTCTGCAGGGGCCCAGTGGGAGCCTTGAGACGGGGGTCAGCGCAAACGTGGGTCAGTCAGAGCGCCTCCTCTTCGGGCGCCGAAGGGCGCCAGAAGAGCCTCCCCTTCGGGCGCCGACCTCTCCTGACCAGAGAGGACGGCGCCTTCGGGAGGCGCCTGACCAGAAGAGATCGGCGCCGAAGAGGAGGAGGAGGAAGAGGAGGAGGAGCGCCTCCCCTTCGGGTCAGTCAGCGCGCCAGAAGTGGCAGGATCCTGCAGGGCCAGCGTCACATTGACCCCGGGCCTGGGCACAAGGTCCTGCAGGATCCTGCACAGCCTGCCTGGCCCGGGCCTGGAGGGACCGCGGTCCGGCAGATCCCCTGAGGTCCGGCGGTTGCCCTTCTGGAGCGCGTTGGGGGCGCCCTTCCGCCCCCTCCCCCGGCCCCCACCGCCCTTCGGCCCCATCCAGACATCTTTTCCACGTCGCGGCCGGCTGGTCCAATGCAGCAAGGGCGAGCGCGGGAGGCGCACGTGCAGGAGTTGCCACCGAGCGCGTGCCAGTGGGAGGCCAGACCGATGAGCGGCTGACACTTGCAGGTGAAGCGAGGGCCATGGGGCCGTGCACGGAGATGATGCGTGCACGTGCACGGATGGATGCAAAGGGGTGCCCAGCGGTGCCCGCTGTCAGGGCGAAGCGCGGCAAGAAAAGGAAGGCTGGCAGGGACGACAGGCGTGTACTGAAGGCAGCCGCAGCAGCCACGTCAACAAGGAGAGAACAGCCCAGGAGGCCTCTGGCCGAGAGTCCCACCCAGACATCCGACGTAGTGTTTTTTTTTCAGCGTGGCTTCCCAGAGGCCATGCCCCCTTCCAAGGAAAGTGGCTTTTTATCCTGAGCCGCTTTTGGACGGCCCCGTGGACTAGTGAGTCAAGGGGCACAAACCAGCACAACATATGTTTTTTTATTGGGCCAGGGACTACCTTCAAGAGATCGGCAGATTGGGTTTTGCGGCGAATATCGGCCGCTCCAGTGTCTCCCGAACTCGCCCTCGAACCGCATAGAGCGCGAGCGCCGCCGAGCGGCGCTGGCCCGAGGTTTCCCTTGTCCTTTCGGTCGGGGGCGGGATCTGCGCGAGGGCACCCGCTCGGCCTCGCTGGCGACTCGCGGGTGCCCGACCAGGCAGGGCCGACTTGGCCGACCGACCCGCTGACAAGTTGGTACGCAGGTTCTGGGTCACTGTCGCGTCTTCCGAGGGTCTGAGCTTTTTCTGGCCCCCACGGGGTCCAGGGTGATTTGTCGACCCCCGTCGTGCTTCAAGGGTAGAAACTTTTTTGGGGCCCTTCGTGGTCGCCGACCGGGCGCCCGTGCCCTTGGCGGGCGCTGCGGATGCCCGGGGCCCAGCACTCGGGAGGTGGCGAACGACTTCGACTCCGCCTTCGGCATTGCAGCACGCTTCGCCGGGCCCGTGTTTCGTTATGGAGCGAACGGTATTCGCTTGCCCCCGTGGGTCGACCTCCACTGCCACTGGCATTGCAGGGCCCTGAGGGGGGACAACGCGCTATGTAAAAATGAATCAGTTCATTGGGAAGGCCTTGCGTCCGGTGCCGCCGACCATCAAGGGGGACGACGGCGGCGGCGGCGACGACGACGCTGCTTCTCTGGAGCCCTTCCTGGAACTCCCTTGAGTCTATTGGGCTCTGTTGGGGGGCCTCTTGGGAAGCTCCGTGGCCGCTTGGAGCCGCCACAGAACGGATCTGAGGCCTCTCAGAGGCGTGTGGGAAATCACGCAGCACCCGCAGCAGCAGAGGAGGGTGCCTCGGGTGGGAGGGTCCAGGAGAGGTCCCCTTCTCCACAGGGGGGAGGCGGAAGGAGAGGTCCCGAGTTCCCCCTGTCCGCGGAGGGACCTCCTCTCCCTGTCTCCCTTGTCCACAGAGGGGACCCCCCTGGGAGAGAAGGTCACGACCCCCGGCCCCCCCCGGGGCCCGCACCCTAGGGACCCCCCCTGGTGGTACGCGGTACTCCTCCTCCTCCTCCTCCTCCTCCTCCTCCTCCTCCTCCCCCTCCCCCTCCTCCTCCTCCTCCTCCTCCTCTCCTCCTCCTCCTCCTCCTCCTCCTCCTCCTCCTCCTCCTCCTCCTCCTCCTCCTCCTCTCCTCCCCCTCCCCCCTCCTCCTCCTCCTCCTCCTCCTCCTCCTCCCCCTGCCGACCCCCCCGTGCTACCCCCCCTGGGCCACGGAAGGGATCATAGGGAAGGGGCTTCCCTTCGAATCAATCTGATTTCCGTCTGGCTGGATCGCTTGAGGAGGAGGGCCCAAGGAAAGGTTTTGGACGCCCGAGATGGGTACCGAAAGAATGGGTACTATACCCAACAGCAGTTCCTGTTCATTATGAACAGGATCCGCTGTCCGCGCCGCCGCAGCCTGTGTCCATTCGAGACAGAAGGTCGCCTGCCCAACAGCGGCCGCTGTTGGCTTGGGACAACATTTGTTGTTGGGCATAGTGCCCATTCTTTCAGTACCCATTTCGGGCGTCCAAAAAAGTGGCCGAGCGGCGACGGCGAGGATGACTCGAATGGAGAAACGTCTAACACACGCCGACAGGGTCGGCGGATTTGGTAATGTTTTTTTTGCTGCTTTGTGAGAGTGCAGTCAAAACTCGCAGTAAGGACGCACGGATGTCCTTAGGGGACCCTTGCGTCATTGCCTCTGCGGCCCGCCCTTGGCGGTTTTCACTGGCCAGCCCTTCAGGGTGTTGGCAGTCCGCCGCTCACACAGTGCCACCTTCGGCGTCCAAGGCCCTTGCGTCCTTGCACTACAGAGTGCGAGTGTGAGGGCAACCCGAGGCCGAAAGCAGCGGAAAGCCTCGCGCGGTGTTTTTCTCGGTGCGTGCGGATGTCAGGGCAGAGGGCCGCGCGCGGAGCGCGGCTCCTGGCCGGAGCAGGACCGGGGCGACATCCAGGCCGACATGTACGCGTACGTGTACGCCGCCGTCCACCACAACGTCAAGCACGTCATGCTCGAGAACTACATGGTCTCGAACGTCGACATGGGGGTGGAGGGCGGCGGCGAGGCTCGCCGCCGCTCGGTCGTGAGTCCCGTGGCCTGCGGCCCCCCCCCGGTCTCAAGCCCAAATGGCAACTGGTGATGATGGAGGCGGTGATGGTGATGGGGGTAATGATTGGGACGAAGATGATGCTGCTGCTGCTGCTGATGATGATGATGATGATGATGATGATGATGATTATGAGGATGATGATGACGACGATGATGACGATGATGATGCTGAAGCTGAAGATGAAGCTGATGATGGTGCTGAAGACGAAGGTGAAGCTGTTGATGATGCTGCTGATGATGATGCTGCTGATGCTGATGATGCGGATGATGATAATGATCCTTAATGATGCTGGAGCTGATGCTGTTGCTGATGCTGATGCTGCTGCTGCTGCTGATGATGATAATTATGATGGTGGTGATGATGATGGTGATGATCTAATATTAAGGATGGTGATGACGATGACGATGACGGTGATGATGCATATTACGATGATGCTGATGACCATGTCGATGATGATGGTGATGCTGATGATGAGGATTGTGATGATGATGGTGATGATTCTGTTCATGACGATGATGATGACGATGCTGTGGATGATGCTGAAGATGATGGTGATTATGATGATGATGATGCTGATGATGATGATGATGATGATGATGATGATGATGATGATTATGATGTTGATAATGATGACGATGTTGATGATTGTGATGATGGTACTGCTGCTGATGATGATAATGATGATGTGGATGATGATGATGATTATGATGATGCCGATGCAGATGATGATGATGTCGATAGAGATGATTATGATGGTGACGATGATGATGATGATGCTGATGATGATGCTGCTGATGCTGATGATGATGCTGAACATAATGATGATGCTGATGATGAGGATGCTGAACATGATGATGATGATGATGATGATGATGATGATGATGATGCTGATGATGATGATAATGATGAGGCTGATGCTGATGCTGATGCTGATGCTGATGATGATGATGATGATGATGATGATGATGATGATGATGATGATGATGATGATGATGGTTACGGGGAGGAAGAGGAAGAGGAGGAGGAGGATGAGGAGGAGGAGGAGGAGGAGGAGGAGGAGGAGGAGGAGGAATCATCGTAATAATAATAATAATAATAATAATAATAATAATAATATTACTATTATCAGTAATGGTGCAAGTCATACGACTAATAAGTTAGTGAGAAGAAGAGGAGGAGAAGGAGGAGGAGGAGGAGGAGGAGGAGGAGGAGGGGGAGTAGTCGGGAACAGGAGCATGACCATGAAATTCTGCTCGCAACCGCCACCGCGCAAAGTCTATAGAGGACTTTCACCAGGGTTGATTCGCGAACGTGAGACCACAATGTTTCGGACGAAGGCCTGCATACCACAGCGCATGTGTATATACATGCGTATATACACATATTTGAGAGAAGAGGGCCGAACGATCATACTTTGTCCCTGCGCGCGCGTGGCTGGTAAAGGACGCTGTATGGGCGGAGGACGCGCGGGGAGGGCGCGCGGGGAGGGCGCGCGGGCGGGGAATGCTCGCTGGGAGGGCGCGCGGGCAGGGCGCGGGGAGGGTTCGCGGGGAGGGCGCGAGGGGAGGGCGCGAGGGGAGGGCGCGCGGTGAGGGCGCGTGGGGAGGACGCGCAGCAGGAGCGCGGGGGGGGGTCACTTTTGGCTTCTCTTCTTCCACAGCTGTTTCTGGACTGCCGTGCGTGGAGAGGCGCGCCGGCGCGTTCCCCTGGTCGGGGCGTTGCTCAACCTGGCCGCTGCAGCGCGGCCCTTGCCTTGAAAAAGTCGCGCACCTCAGTTTCGCCCCCCCTCCCTCCCCCTCCCCCCCTCTCCTTCAGCCTCTCCCTCCTGGCCTTCCTCACTCTTATCCGCAACTGCGGGGTGCTGCGTATAATTGTGCGACTCCAAGGAGAAGGAGGAGGAGGAGGAGGAGGAGGAGGAGGAGGAGGAGGAGGAGGAGGAGGAGGAGGAGGAGGAGGAGGAGGAGGAGGAGGAGGAGCGGGAGGAGGTGGAGGAGGAGGAGGAGGAGGAGGAGGAGGAGGAGGAGCAGGTGGAGGAGAACAGGAGGAGGAGGTGGTGGAGGAGGAGGAGAGGAGGAGGAGGAGGAGGAGAGGAGGAGGAGAAGCAGGAGGAGGAGGAGGATTACGAAGAGGAGGAGGAAGAGGAGGAGGAGGAGGTGGAGGAAGAGGAGGAGGTGGGGAAGGGGGTTAACAATGCGAGGCCTGGAAGTTCGTCGACGCGCTCGAGAGCATGTCGTGCCACAACCCGGAGAAGGCGCTGGAGGGGCGGAAGCGCCCAGGTTTCGTGCATGCTGCTGGCCACTACAAGGCCCGCTTGCGTACAGATGGTGATGATGATGGTGATGCTGATGATGCTGATAAGGCTGATGCTGATGCTGCTGCTGATGATGATGGCGACGAAAATATGATTATGCGGATGATGCTGATGCTGATGATGAGGATGATGAGGATGCCGATGATGGTGATGCTGATGACGCTGATGATGATGCTGATGATGATGTTGATGATGATGCTGATCGTGATGCTAACGATGCTGATGATGCTGATGATGCTTATGATGATGATTATGATGATGACGGTGCCGCTGATGATGCTGATGATGACGATGATGTGGATGATGATGGTGATGACGATGCTGATGACAAGGATGACGACACTGATGATGCTGATGGTCATGAGGGCGACGTTGATGACGATGCTGCTGCTGCTGCTGATGATGATGATAATGGTGAGTATGATCATGCTTATGCTGATGATGCTGCTGATGATGCTGTTGATGATGATGCTGAGGATGATGATGCTGATGATGAGGATGATGCTGATCCTGCGGCCTCTGCTGCTGATGCTGATGCTGATGATGCTGATGCTGATGGTGATGAGGCGGAGGAGGATGCTGGTGATACCGAGGTTGACGACGACGACGACGTTGTTGCTGCTGCTGATGATGCTGCTGATGATGATGATGATGATGATGCTGCTGATGGTAATGGTCATGGCGATGATGCTTGTGATGGTAATGCTTATGATGATTGTGGTAGTGGTTGTGGTGACGACGTGATGTTGGTTGAGGAAGATGAGATGTTCCTCTTTTACGTCCTCTTCGTCCTCCTCCTCCATCCCCTCTTTCTTATCCGTCTCCCCCGCTTCCTCTTTCTCAAGCTCAAACTCAATCACATCGTTTTCCTTTTCCTCCCACTGATCTGCCGAGGAGGGCTCGATTCTATACATCATGGATGGCAGTGCACGATCGAGCCTGACCAGGGCGATCGATCGGGCTCTTGACCAATATCCACAACGCTTCGCGGCACCACGTCCGAACTGTCGGGAGCCGTCACGCCACCGTGCTTGGGTTTTGGGTCGGAGTCCTCATGGACGCTTCTTGGGTTGGGGTCTCTCCAGAGAGCTCTCGGGGGCCTCTGCGGGGCAGTTTAGGGGCCTCTTGGAGGCCTCCCGGGAACTTCTTGGTGACTTTTTGAGGCCCTCTTGGGGCCTCTTGGGGCCCTCGTGGAGCCTTTTAGCGGCCTCCTGGGGGCCCCTTAGGGCCTCCTGGGGGCCTCTTGGGACCGAAAGCTCGAGATGTCCATTCGGGTTCCCCTTCTGAGCCCACTCTTGGGGCCGTCCTTGGTCTCACTTGGGCCGTTGGGCCGTTTTGGGGCCCTCTTGGGCTGTCTTGGAGCCCTCTTGGGGGCCGGTTGGGCAGTCTTGGGGCGATCTTGGGGGCCTTTTGGGCCGTCTTGGTGCGTCGGTAAGCCGAAATGGCGAGAACGCGGAAATTATTCAAAAACCATAGGAAAATCAATATGTTTGAGTCTTGGGCTCTCTTGGAGGTGCTTTTGAAGGCCTCTTGGGGCGTGCTGGAAGCGTCTTGGGCCGCCTGGAGGCCATCTTGGGCGTCTTGGAACGATCTGGAACTGTCTGGAGGCTCTCTTGGACCGTCTTAGGACAGTCTGAAAGGCTGCGCCCTCTGCTGCCAGCCCCCTACGCACCTTCTGGCAATCTGTAGAGGCAGTTCGGGGGGGGTCTTAGGCCAACATGGGGCCTCTCGGGGGCATCTGAGGGCGTCAGTCGGTGTCTTCGAGCCATCTTGGGCAATGTCGGGGCTATCGTGACAGCTCTGGAGCCCATCTTGAAGGCGCCGTGTGGCCATTTTGAGGCCTTGTTGGGCCATTCTGGGCGGTTTGGGCGGTATCTTGGGGCCTTGTGGGGCCGCCTCGGGGCCGTCTTGGGCAATCTCGGGTGCTTGGGGGCCGTCTCGAAGCGTCTTGGGAGCAGACCGCTGGACAGGCAAAAATATTGAAAGCACTATGCCAATATGGTTCGCTGTTTAGTGGGCGTCTTGGGGCCCTCTTGGACCATCTTGGAGGCATCCTGGGGCCATCTTCGGTCGTCTGGGGTCGTCTGGGACCTCACAGGGGCCGTCTTTACGTCTTTTGGGCCATATTGGCGTCCTGGCCGTGCGTTGGCGTCCCACTGGGATCCTGGGTCAGCCTGAACCGGCCAGGAATTTGAAGGACCCCCCCCAGGATTTCTTGGCGTCCCGGGTTACAAGCAGTGCTGGCATATTTTGAAGTGGATATGCGTGTAGTGTTGAAGGGTGATGCAGGCGCATCAATAGCGATAGTTCGCCGTCGAGGGGTGAGATAGGTTAAGCATACTGGGGTCTGCCTATTATCGCTGCAGGGAAAGGTCAAGAACTGATATATCAATGTGGTTCAAGTGGGCCCTGGCGAGAATCTAGCAGATGTGCTAACAAATACTCCAGCAGAGACAGAGACTGCAGACGAATATATGTGATACTGAACAATACGCTCAAAGGCAGGCGTGATTTACCACCAGCCAAGGAATGCGAACGTAACCATATCCGCATCCTTGTGGAGAGTTTGATATTTCTGCGCACGAGAAGGTTGACGATTTCCGTTAGGAAAGAAGGGTAGTTAAGTGAATACTCCCGTATGTTGCCCCCAGAGGCGTGCACCAAGGGCGACCAGATCGGTTACGACGCCGGCGGCTGCCCTGAGGACGGCTCCGACTTGTGGAATTTCCACAAGGGCCACGTGCCATCCACCATCTTGAGCTGCAACGAGCCGCTCCTCATGCCACCGCCGGACGACTTCTTCAACGTGCAGGCCGCTGCACACAACTTGCGCAGCAAGCGTACGGCTTTCATGATCTGCCACCTCACGTTCATGGTCAACCGCGCAGCCCTAGACTACAAGAACAAGTTTTGCGAGTCTGGCTTCAATGCCAAGGAGTGCACGCGTCTCATCGTTCATGCAAGATCACCAGGCAGTTCTCTATCGAACCCGTTCGGCTACCCTCTCGCCAGGGTAGACCAGGAATGCAACAAGTAGCTGTAGGTGTTTGCGTAGCATTGCTTTCGTGTTTTTTCCTTGTGTCATGGCCTTGTAGTTCAGTGTGCTCATCACGTTCCTTAGTGACACTCTGCGCACACGGTGCTCATTCGCTCCATCGCTGCTTGCGTGTACCTCTGAGGCGAAGACCTCAGGTGCAGACCTCTCATGTTCCTCGGAGGAGAAGACCTCAGTTTGAATATATCTTGGCATGTGCATGTGGGTGAGGAAAGTTGCTGTGTTGAGCTAGACCAGGCCCCAGCTACCCCTCCTCATGCTGCCGTCGCTCTTCGTTCTGGAAGCATGGCCGGCCCCCCTCCGCGTCTTGTTTTTTGCCCACAGGATTGTGCCACATTGTTCCCGACCGTCCTGTGGTGTTGGGTCCTTGTTTTGAAGAGACGGTCCCCGCGTTCCTCCTCCTTCCTCCTCCTCCCCCTCTTCCCTCCTCCCTGCGCTTCACCCACCCAGTACAGCGCTTCGTGGCCCCATAGGGAGCTCCACCGAAGCCCCCCTGTGGGACCGTCCGCATGCGTCCCGAAAACCCAATTCTTTACGCTTCGCGTATCCCCACCAGCCCATCTCACAGCAGCAACTCTCGCGAAGCATGCCGACAGTCGTGTTTTTCAGGCGTGTGTCCGCTTGGCCCCGCATATCTCCCCTGTTCCTCCTTCCTCCCGCCTCCTTGTACATCCTCCTTGTGAGGGGAGCGGGAGAAGGACGAGGCGGAGGAGGAGGGAGAGAAAGCGCTCCTCGTGATTTGAGTCGTTTGGGGTTTCTCGTCCTGGTGTGAGTCGTTCGGGCCCTTCTTCCTGGTGTGAGTCGTTCGGGCTCTTCGTGGTGTGAGTCGTTCGGGCTCTTCGTCCTGGTGTGAGTCGTTCGGGCTTCTCGTGGTGTGAGTTGTTCGGGCCCCTCATCCTGGTGTGAGTCGTTCGGGCCCCTCCTCCTGGTGTGACTCGTTCGGGCTCCTCGTGGTGTGAGTCGTTCGGGGCCCGCGTCGTGGTGTGAGTCCTTCGGGCTCCTCGTGGTGTGAGTCGTTCGGGCGCCTCGTCCTGGTGTGAGTCGTTCGGGCCCCTCCTTGTGGTGTGAGTCGTTCGGGCTCTTCGTGGTGTGAGTCGTTCGGGCCCCTCGTCCTGGTGTGAGTCGTTCGGGCTCCTCGTGGGGCCTCTTGGGGGCCTCTTGGAGCCTCGTGGGGCCTCTTGGGGGCCTCTTGGGGGCCTCTTGGGGGCCTATTGGGGCCTCGTGGGGCCTCTTGGGGGCCTCTTGGGGGCCTGTTGGGGGCCTCTTGGGGCCTCGTGGGGCCTCTTGGGGGCCTCTTGAGGGCCTCTTGGGGGCCTCTTGGGGGCACGGATGGCTTTCGCCGGGGTTGGCTTTCGCCGGGCTTCGTTTCGCCGGGCTTCGTTTCGCCGGGCTTCGTTTCGCCGGGGTTGGCTTTCGCCGGGGTTGGCTTTCGCCGGGGTTGGCTTTCGCCGGGGGGTGGCTTTCGCCGGGGCTGGCTTTCGCCGGGTTGGCTTTCGCCGGGTTGGCTTTCGCCGGGGTTGGCTTTCGCCGGGGTTGGCTTTCGCCGGGTTGGCTTTCGCCGGGGTTGGCTTTCGCCGGGTTGGCTTTCGCCGGGGTTGGCTTTCGCCGGGGTTGGCTTTCGCTGGGGTTGGCTTTCGCCGGGGCTGGGCGGGGAGCAGGCGGGGCAGGCTCAGGGGCAAAAGTAGGCGCCGCCGTCGCTGGCGTGGCCGTCGCCGCCGCCGTGCTGACCCCTGGGAGCCTTTGAGGCGCGCCGCTTGAGTAGGCGAAAGGGTCGCAGAGACGTGGGGGGGGGGTCAAGGAGGTCCCGGATGTCAAGGAGGGTCTGAGATGCGTCAGAACGGGACGCTAAAAAATGCGGGGCGCGCTCAAGTGGGCACGCGTGAGCCCCAGCGTGCGGGCCCGATCGGGTGGGCGGACCCTAACGGGCGGGACGGGTCGAGCGGACCCTCACACGCGGGCCGGGTCGGGCGAGCGGATCCTAACGGGCGGGGCGGGTCGCGCCGGGTCGGGCGGACCCTAGCGGGCGGGTCGGGTCGGGCGGGCGGGACACTAAAGTGTGGGGCGCGCTCGAGTGAGCACGCGTGAACCCTAACGGGCGGGTCGGGTCGGGTCGGGCGGACCCTAACGGGCGGGACGGGTTCGGGTCGGGCGGACCCTAACGGGCGGGTCGGGTCGGGCAGGCGGGACACTAAAGTGTGGAGGCGCGCTCGAGTGAGCACGCGTGAACCCTGACGGGCGGGTCGGGTCGGGTCGGGCGGACCCTAACGGGCAGGGCGGGTCGGGTCGGGTCGGGCAGACCCTAACGGGCGGGTCGGGTCGGGCGGGCGGGACACTAAAGTGTGGGGCGCGCTCGAGTGAGCACGCGTGAACCCTAACGGGCGGGTCGGGTCGGGTCGGGCGGACCCTAACGGGCGGGACGGGTTCGGGTCGGGCGGACCCTGACGGGCGGGTCGGGTCGGGCGGGCGGGACACTAAAGTGTGGGGCGCGCTCGAGTGAGCACGCGTGAACCCTGACGGGCGGGTCGGGTCGGGTCGGGCGGACCCTAACGGGCGGGGCGGGTTCGGGCCGGGCGGACCCTAACGGGCAGGTCGGGTCGGGCAGGCGGGACACTAAAGTGTGGAGGCGCACTCGAGGGAGCACGCGTGAACCCTGACGGGCGGGTTGGGTGGGGCAGGCGGACCCTGGCGGGCGAAGCGGGTCGGGTCGGGTCGGGCGGACCCTAACGGGCGGGTCGGGTGAAGCGGGCGGGGCACTAAAGTGTGGGGCGCGCACGAGTGAGCACGCGTGAACCCTAACGGGCGGGTCGGGTCGAGTCGGGCGGACCCTAACGGGCGGGCCGGGTCCGGCCGGGCGGACCCTGACGGACGGGTCGGGTCGGGCGGGCGGGACGCTGAGGTGTGGGGCGCGCTCGAGCGAGCACGCGCGAACCCTAACGGGCGGGTCGGGTCGGGTCGGGCGGACCCTAACGGGCGGGGCGGGTCGGGTCGGGTCGGGTTCGGTAAGAGGAGCAGCAGTAGCAGCATGAAAGAACAGTAGAGGAAAGAGGAGAAGAGGAAGAGGAGGGCGAAGTTGAACCCAGGCGAAAACAAGCCCGGGCGAAAGCCAACCCGGGCGAAAACTAACCGGGCGAAAGCCAACCCCGGCGAAAGCCAACCAGGCGAAAGCCAACCCAGGCGAAAGCCAATCGGGCTAAAGCCAACCGGGCAAAAGCCACCCCGGGCGAAAGCCAACCCGGGCGAAAGCCAACCGGGCGAAAGCCAACCCGGGCGAAAGCCAACCCGGGCGAAAGCCAACCCGGGCGAAAACCAACCCGGGCGAAAGCCAATTGGGCGAAAGCAAACCCGGGCGAAACGAACCGGGCGAAACGCACCGGGCGAAAACCAACCCGGGCGAAAAACATCTACGCCCTCTTGGGGCCGCTTGGGGGCCTCTGGGGGGTCTCTTGGAGGCCTCTTGGGAGCCTCCTGGGGGCCTCTTGGGGCCATCTTGGGGCCTCTTGCGACCTCCTCAGAAGCGCAAGTGAGAGCTGCCCCCTGAGAAGGACAAAATGAGCCCAAAACCTTAGTAAAATCAATGATTTTGCTATGAGGGGAGATGAGCGCGGCCCCCTCAGAAGGCCAAAATGGGGCCAAAACCATAGTAAAATCAAGGTTTTTTCCCTACATTCTAAGTGGGGTTCTGATTTTCTCTACACCCGCGTCGCACCCGCGTTTCTTCTCCTCACCTCCTCCTTCTCACTCGTACACACACCACACCACGCCATCCGTCACATCACACCACACCACACCACACCATACCATACCACACACACACGGTTCTGATTCCCCACATGCTTCGTGGGGTTCTGGTTTTCTTCCCTTCCGCGTCTCACCCGCGTCTCCTCCTTCTCCTCCCTCTCCTTTTCCTTCTTTCTCACCTCACGGAGAGCGCGGCAGGCGTGGCTCCTCCCTCTCCTTCTCTGCGCAGGGCACGGCAGGCGTGGCAGTTTCTCGACGCCAGAGGGGGTGCGCAGGGGGTGGTCCCTGAGCGCGGCGTCTATGCGGGCCATGGCGCAGGGCACGGCAGGCGTGGCAGTTTCTCGACACCAGAAGGGGGTGCGCAGGGGGTGGTCCCTGAGCGCGGCGTCTATGCGGGCCATGGCGCAGGGCACGGCAGCGTGGCATTTTCTCGACCCCAGGCAGAGCGCGCAGAGGGTGGTCCCTGAGCGTGGCGTCTATGCGGGCCATGGCGCAGGGCACGGCAGGCGTGGCAGTTTCTCGACACCAGAGGGGGTGCGCAGGGGTGGTCCCTGAGCGCGGCGTCTATGCGGGCCATGGCGCAGGGCACGGCAGGCGTGGCAGTTTCTCGACACCAGAGGGGGTGCGCAGGGGGTGGTCCCTGAGCGCGGCGTCTATGCGGGCCATGGCGCAGGGCACGGCAGGCGTGGCAGTTTCTCGACACCAGAGGGGGTGCGCAGGGGGTGGTCCCTGAGCGCGGCGTCTATGCGGGCCATGGCGCAGGGCACGGCAGGCGTGGCAGTTTCTCGACACCAGAGGGGGTGCGCAGGGGGTGGTCCCTGAGCGCGGCGTCTATGCGGGCCATGGCGCAGGGCACGGCAGGCGTGGCATTTTCTCGACCCCAGGCAGAGCGCGCAGAGGGTGGTCCCTGAGCGTGGCGTCTATGCGGGCCATGGCGCAGGGCACGGCAGGCGTGGCAGTTTCTCGACACCAGAGGGGGTGCGCAGGGGGTGGTCCCTGAGCGCGGCGTCTATGCGGGCCATGGCGCAGGGCACGGCAGGCGTGGCAGTTTCTCGACACCAGAGGGGGTGCGCAGGGGGTGGTCCCTGAGCGCGGCGTCTATGCGGGCCATGGCGCAGGGCACGGCAGGCGTGGCAGTTTCTCGACACCAGAGGGGGTGCGCAGGGGGTGGTCCCTGAGCGCGGCGTCTATGCGGCCATGGCGCAGGGCACGGCAGGCGTGGCAGTTTCTCGACACCAGAGGGG